GGTCCAAGTATGACCTGCAGGTAGGACACCCCGCCCCCCATATATTACTTTCTTTCTCCCAGTTCCACCATCTGGGCCTGGCACCGCCCCTAACACCTCCCGACTCTCCAACTGCCCCCATTTCAGACATGAATAATCATGCAGCCAGTTTAGTAGGTCATGGTGATGACCCCAAGCCCATGGGCTCCTGGGTGCTGCCTCTGGGTGCAGCCTCCTCTCCTTCCCCGCCATGAGGGGCCCCTTCCTCCCCTTTGTGGGCTCCTCTGCCGTAGCACAGAGCTGCAGGAGGCAAATCCTAGACCAAAGTTGAAGGATTTCTTCACAGCATCCCTACCCACAGCCAATGCCTTCCTCAGAGGACGCCCTGAATTACCAAGGAAGAAGGAAAATACTTCATAGAACTTATTTTAAGGTGTTTCTGTGATGAGGGAGCAGGTGATAAATTTTGAATACAGAAATCAAAGATATGGAAAAAGATTAGAGAAAATAAGGACTTGGTGAAAGGAGAGAGAGAAGGAAAGATGCAGAATATTAGCATCCATGAAAGTTACCCTCACAGTTTTCCTGGGAGTAAGTCTTGCGTTATGATTCCAGTGTACAGATGGGACAACTGAACTCCGCCCTCAGGAGAGCTCCCCAGTGATCAGGGCAGAGCGAGCACCGGAACCAGCTTCCTGGATGCCCCTTGCCACACTCTCACCGTGTCTAGAAAGGATGTGGGAGATTCCAGCTGCACTTGGGGCCACTCCAGCCAGATGTGCCCCTGGTCCTTTTTCTGGCCTGGATCCTTGGCAGAGAGCCCCTGAGGGAATGAACCATTGTCCTCTGTTCTGAAGGAGCCAGCACAGCCACTGGGTCCACTGCATTCTGTGGGAAAATGTACATAGGAGGTGAAAAGGTGACAATTACGGATACAAGTAGCCAAGTAGATGCCCCAGGAGAGAGACTAGAAGAAAAGATACCAAAGCACGAGTGATGATCGGGTTAGAAGACCATAGTTACCAAGTGTTTGGGAGAGTGGTGATGTGGCTTTGGGGACAAAAACAGTTTTATTCTTTCTGGAAAATCATCTAGCCCAGCCCTCCACCTGGGACAGGAAGCCTCTAAACTCTCTTCCAGGCCCGTTCAGGCCTGCTGGGCAGGAGGCGAGAGGAATCGGCAAGAATGTGCCAGTGGGTTCCTATCCAAGAGCCACAGCCCGCACTGGAGCCCAGAGGACTGACTGGCGCCGTGTCTCACTCCGTCTGTGAAGTGGCTGTGGGGTGGGTCCTGTGTGACTGAGCAATAGGTGCCCCAAAGGGACCAGGACCTGCACCCCAGGCTCTCCGCCGCACATGTTGCCAGGGAGGAATCCAGGGCAAGTGGTGAACTACACGCTCAGCCCCGTGGTTGGCTGAGGCCAAGGCTGTGATCAAGTAGACAACCATAGCACGGGGTTTGGCTGATGCGAAGGTGACGGGTATCCCTGCCCCCAGCTGTGAGGCTCCCACACGCTTGCACACACACACGCAGCTTGCTCAACAGGAAAGCCTGTGCACGCCTGCTCTCCCCTCCCGTGCCTCCTGATAATGGTCTCTGGAGGAAGCCATCTCCTTAGTGACCACCTGGTCCCCACCACGGAGCCACGGCCCGGCCCACACCAGCTTCCTCTCCCCACTTCCCTCACTCTCCACGCCAGTCCCGCCCCAGGCCTCAGTCCCTCAGCCCTCGGTTTCCCGGTTTCCCCGGGAGAAAGGCCTCCCTGTCTGGCCTGCCTGCCCCAGCCACCTCCCCCTCGCATAAAAACCTCACTGAGTCTCCGAGACGCTGGAACCCAGACAGAATGGAATTTCTCCCTATTTTCTTTACAGCTGAGAAAACACACACAAACACAAGAGCATATTTATTGCAATATTTCTAGCCCGAAGTTTGTCTTTAAAAAGAAGAAATAAAATTAGTTTCTTTGCCTGTTCCACGGCCACCCCCGCTCCTCCCAAACCCCTTTGTGCTCCTCCCCCATTTCCTGGTCCAGGCCAGGGAGAAAAACTGCAGCGGCCCAAGTCCATGGGCAGCACCACCTCCCCAGACAATGCAGGCCTGTTCTGAGCGGGAACCGGACACACAGCTCCCAGGGCCAGGACTCGGAGAGAAGAGGCGGGCCAGTGTCTGAGTGCAGGTCCCTGAGCTCCAGGAAGAAAGGGTCTCGGCAAGGTCGCACTCCACCCCAAGAGAGCACCTTACTCTCCGGCCACCCACCCCACTCCAGGGACCCTGTTCCCAGCCATGGCTGGTCACACTGGGCTCTCATCAGAGCCTCTGGCTCAGTGGACCCCCGGGGGCCAGACCCAGAGCCCCAGAGATGTTTTTTAAAGGCAGCATCTGAGCAGAAAATCCCTGGAGGAGAAGTGAGGGGCCACTTCCCAGAACCAGGAGACTTTCCAGACTTCCTGTGCTGTGAAGCTGACCCAAACCTGCACAGATGAACGTTTCATTTCTCTGGTGACCAGTGTCTGCTGCCTGAGGGGAGGGTGGGTGGTAGGAAGACGTCAGAGTCAGTGGGCAGGAACGATCACCAGAACCTGGGCCCGGTGTTTCTGGCTGGGAATACCAGTGACCCCTACCTCCCCTGCTCTTGAGGTGCTTCCTCATCCCCAGATCAATCCAGCCCCAGCTGAAGGTGACTGGACCAAAAGCAGCCCCTGCTGGGCCACCAGACTTGGAGGCAGCCAAGTCTGGGACTGCGGCTGCCCTGTAAGCCCCGACTCCCCTTCTTCGGCCTCTGTCCATGGCCCCCAGGCCTGCTTCTTCTGGGCCACAAACTCTCCTTCATCCAGAAGCAAACACTCCTGCTAGAGAGGAGGGCAAGGCACAGTGGGAGCCAGGGCGGGTGTGCCTGACAGAGCAACCCGGGGCCTAACCAGGCACAGGCTATGGAGGGCAGGTCCTGGGTGTATGCAATGTGACTGCCTCCCTCCAAACCAGGGGTCCAGCCCAAAGCCTTGGTCATTTCCACAAACAACCAGGGTGACACCACTGCCCTGGCTGATGGCTCATAAATTCATCGGGGTCTTCTGGAAGTTTGCCAGGGCCAGCCAGGTGCAGCCAGAGTCCCAGTGGTGCAGGGAACACTCTCTTCATAGTTATCGTCCCCGATCTGTGTACACACCATGACGGTCATTCAGCAGCTGGCAGCAAGGAGTTTGTCTTTCTTACTCACATGAAGTCCTGTTTGGGCCACCAGGCGGGCCACAGGACTCCCACTTCACTCCTAAATTACTGATCTCTTCACCTCAAAGCTTATCCAGAGTCTCCCCGGCTTGAACCAGGACCTGGAATCTCACCTGAAACTGTGGCAGGGAAGCAGCCCCTGGATTTGAAGTTGGTGGCAGGCCCAGGTGTCATCAGGAAGCTGGGCCACTTGTCACTCCTGTGGGCCCGGGTAACACAGAGTCAGGTTTCTCTTTGGACCCTTCATCATACATATATATTTGAAACATATGGGGGCTGGGGATTTAGCTCAGCGGCAAAAGCGCCTGCCTGGCAAGCGCAAGGTCGTGAGTTCGGTTCCCGGAGAAAAACCAAAAAAAAAAAAAAAAAAAAAGAAACGTATGAATGAATATTTAATTTAAAAAAAATTACAGTAAAAGGTGCATTGCCAAGAACAATGGGGCAAGTGTGTTGGAAGCAAGGGGGTATGTTGAGCATTGGGAGTGCGTCTTACTATGATAATGTGTCTTACCATGATAATTTTTTATTTAAACATTTACAATATGTTTTAACCACCATATACATTATACATATTTTAACACCTCTCTTATGTGAGATGTGTTTCAGAACTGCATCCTTGGCAATGCTGTCATCGTGTGAGCCTCACAGAGTGCACTGATAGGGACCTTGGCTGGCACAGGCCCGTCACTCTCTGTGGCCTCTCAGTGTGACCAAGAGTCACAGTAGAGACAAGGTGGAGCTGTGAGTGGAGGCAGATACCTGTAATCCCAGCACTCGGGAGGCTGAGGCAGGAAGATCACAAGTTCAAGGTCAGCCTGAACTCCACAGGGAGACCCTGCCTCAAAAAAGCACAAGGTGGATGAGGCTGCCACCGTGTACCATAGCAGACTGTTTTATAGTAAACTTGTTTGATAAGTTGAAGAAGAACATGCCAAAATAATGACAGAAAGTATAGTATAGGAAATACCTAAACCAGTGAGCTGGTCGTTTCTTATCATTACCATAGATATTTTCCTGTGCTATACTTTTATACAGCTGGCAACACAGTAGATTTATTTACACCAGGAACTACCATCAGATGTGGGGCCTCTCACTGACGGAAACATTGTTATATGGCACATGACTCCGTGTGTGTGTGTGTGTGTGTGTGTGTGTGTGTGTGTGTGTAAGAAACAGACAGAGAGATTATAAGGAATTCATTCACACAGTGATGGAGGCTGGCAGGTCCCAAATTCTGAAGGTGACTTGGAAAGGTGGAAACCCAGGAGAGCTGTTTGAGTCTGAAGGGAAGAAAGAAAAAAAACAAAAAACCAATATCCTAGCTTGAAGACCATCGGAGAAGAACTTTCTCTTCTTCAGGGAAGGTTTGTGTTTTGTGCTATTCAAGCCTTCACCGGATGAGACGAGGCCCACCCACGAGGGAGAGGGGATCGTACTTTACTCAGTCTACTAATTCACATGTTCTCATTCAGAAGCCTCCCAGACACACCGGAACAGTGTTTGACCGAATGTTCAGGGTCCCTATGGCCCGGGAAAGTTGACAACTAACACGAAGTATCGCAGGATTCGTTCCAAAGAGTGCTCACTGGCAGGGAGGTGGGAGGTCAGGTCCATCAGCACAGTGCCTGGAATTAAATGCAGAAATCAGTGAAGGTTCTGTGAGGAAAGAGATGTCTTCTCCAAGAACAGTCTGGGTGTGATTGCTGGGCCTGGGCACATCGTAGTTCCCGTGACCCTCTTCCATGTCACCATGCCCCAACAGCCCCAGTGACACCTCTGCCTGCTTCTTTCAGGTGAACTATGACCACTTTACTCTTCATTTTTGTGACTCTGAGGGTCATCACGGCTGTCATCTCAGAAGAAGCTTCAGGTAAGGACATTCCCACATGTAACCTATTTATACAGTAGGTGCTGAGCGCTAGGTTCTGAGTCCTGGGTACTGAACCTGGTGCTGCTAGTCTCAGGGGCACAGTTTCCCTTTCCCTCACCTTTTCCTGGCCTCGCTGCATTGGGAGAGCCTTGCTCAGAACATTGGCTCCTGGCCACCTGCCCTGCAGCAAGGACACAGGGGGAGAGCTCCTGGCTGGACCTCTACCCAGCACCTTTCTCCTGAGGTCTCACCTTGCACTGTACACACAGCTCAGGGCGGGACACAGACAGAGCAGCAGAGATGAGGCTTCCAGGGCAGAGCTGGGAGCATCAGAGAAGTCCCAAGTGATGTGATGGTCTCGGCTTTCTCCACAGTCTCAGCTGGTCTCACACACAGGGCAGGCACCTGCTCCATTCCTGATAGCCAAACCCTAACCCAAATGAGCAAGGCAACTTCCATGGACCCCAAAGTGGAATGAATCTCCCTTAGACCAGACACAGGAGACTCCTCTGCAGGACGCTGTGACGTAGGGCCCTCTCCTGCACTGGCCCTCACCCAAAGTGCTGGTCTGCAGGCCAATGGGATAGGTCCACCACACTGGGGGTGCTGGATGCCTGAATTCTCTGCCACATGGCCCCTGGCCACTTCAGGGTTCACCATGGGACCCTCCTGCCCTGGTGTGATGCCTCACTCCACCCCCAAAGCCCCAGGGAAGGGCTGAGGAGTAGCTGTTTGCATGGGATACAGATGGAGCAGGCATGGAGGGTGGAGAGCACCCAGCATGCGCACAAGTGCAAGGTCAGTGGGCCACTGAGATGTGCCCCCCATCCAGTGCAAGGTCAGTGGGCCACTGAGATGTGCCCCCCTCCTCCTCCACCAGGCCCCCCATCCCAATACAAAGCTCTAAGGAATCTAGGAATGCTAAGTTTGAATCTGGCTGTTTAGGTCGTTTTGAAAAGTACCATTGCCAATTAGGAAGATCCAACATCTTTTATTTCACAACCAGCTGACATGATTCATCACTCATGGTCTGCGGCCCCCCCATTTGTACAGTTGCTCTGAGTCCCACAGATACCCAGCCCCGGCCGAGCATAATGGTGCACGGAAAACTGGAAGCAGGAGGCTCACAAGTTCAAACCCAACCTGCGCAATTTAGAGACTTAGCAGGACCCTGTCTCAAAATAAAAAATAAAAAGTGCTGGAGAGGTAGCTCAGCACAAAGGTCCTGGATTCAATCCCCAACATCACAAAAAACAAAACCCTTCCCATCCCTTGGAGGTGGAGTGTCCGTACCAGTGAACGACTAGGGTTGGTTGATCGCTTTAACAGCTGCCCAGCTGGGCTCTGCAGTGACCTTGAACTGTTCCGTGTGACCCACCACTGCAAAGCTAAGCTGTGACCAGTGGTGCCAGGGCTGGGCATTTAGATGGAGGTGTTTGTGGCCAGGGTAGGGGAGCCTGTCCAGACATCAAAGACCACAGCTGGACTCCACACCTTCCTGCTGCCCCCTCAAACACCTGAAGTGTTTTGACTTCTGCCCATAGGTGCTCCTGAAAGACAGGGTTCCATAAATTTAGGACCCACCATGAAAGGTGCTACTTTTGGGGAAGCGGTTTCTCTCCCATGCCAGGCACACCTTTTCCTTCACACTGGACTTGGTAAACACACTGCCGCTTCCCTGCCAATGCGCCCCACAATTTTTGTGGAGTCGATTCTCCCCCACTCTGTGACTCCCACTGCACTGAAATGTCTGCTCCCCTTGACATTTCTTTACCCAGTTCCCCACCCAACACCCTAAGCAGATGTCCCCAAAAAGGACACATCCGTGAAGTTTTGTGCCTCAGCTTTAAAAGTTTGGTAGAATATTTTCATACTCCACAAAAGTTTTTTAGACCCCAATATAATCCTTTTCCAAAATCTTAAAGTCAAGCTATCACTCCCGAAGATGGGTCCTGTTTATCCTATGGTTTGGGTTCCCTGGGGAACCTCAGTTCGAGAAACAGAGGCTGTCAGGGCTGTGGCATCTCCTCCCCCTCCTCTGGAATGCTTTCCTGGCTGTACAGTTTGTGTCCTGAGGTCTTACCAAAGGCATAGCAAGGCTTCCTGGGGATTCCCAGCTGCTGCCATAGACGCAGCGCATGCATGGCATTTTGCCTTTTCAGGGCCACTAGGAGAGCCCAGGTAGTCTCCTCGGGGTACTAACAGGTCTGTCATCACCCCACCTTCTCCAGCAGACCATGACAACGCACTGAGTGTGAGCATCCCCCAGCCATCCCCGATGAAGGTCCTCCTGGGGACCTCCCTCACCATCCCCTGCTACTTCATCGACCCCATGCACCCTGTGACCACCGCCCCCTCCACTGCCCCCCTCTCCCCGAGGATCAAGTGGAGCCGCATTTCCAAGGAGAAGGAAGTGGTCCTGCTGGTGGCCACTGAGGGGCATGTGCGGGTCAACAACGCCTACCAGGACAGGGTCTCGCTGCCCAGCTACCCAGCCATCCCCAGCGACGCCACCTTGGAAATTCAGAACCTGCGCTCCAACGACTCTGGGGTCTATCGCTGCGAGGTGATGCACGGCATCGAGGACAGCGAGGCCACCCTGGAGGTCGTGGTGAAAGGTGAGGGTGCCCCGCGGGGACAGCACTTCCCCTGCAGGGAGAGCTAGGTGAGGTCCTCACTGTGAGAACCGGACAGGCTGGCACCTCAGTCGAGAGGCTCAGCCTGTCTGTGACACGGGGCTGGTAATACTGTTCTCTCTGGACTTTTGGGGGGACTAAATGCTCTCTGGCCATGGTCACAGGGAGACGGCAGATTGTGCTTCATGATAAAACCAGTGGTTCAGCGGGCTTTAATGATTGTGTTCGTTTTGCCAATAAGCAAACTGAGGTTAAATGATTTGCCTCAAGTCACCCTAGAAATAGGTCAGGTATCTTTTACCTCCTCCTCCTCCTCTTCCTTTTCCTCCTCCTCTTCCTCTGCCTCCTTCTCTTTCTCTTCCTCCTCCTCCAACCCCTCATTCTCAATTCCGGAAGCCAGAAGACACCCTTGGGCTCCTTTCTCTAGCAGGATGACCCTGGGTTGAAGGTGCAGGGGACCCTGAGTGTCTCCTTCCCAATAAACAATCTGGGATCCTGGAGTGACAAGAAACTAATAAGGGGGTAGATTTTCCTTTACTTCAAAGACCTTCCTGATTATCAGAATTATTGGAAGCACTCAAAAAGAAAGGCCTTGTGAGGTCGTGAGTTCCCTGTAACTGGGAGTATTCCAACAAGGTGACAAGGACCACATGCAAAGGTGGAGAGGAGTCCATACACCTAAGGGTCCTCTGACCGTTGCTGTGACTCTGAGGGGCCTTGTGACCAGAGCTGCCCCTGACCAGCTCTCTCACCGGATGCTTCTGGCAGGCATCGTGTTCCACTACAGAGCCATCTCCACGCGCTACACCCTCGACTTTGACAGGGCCCAGCGGGCCTGCCTGCAGAACAGTGCCATCATCGCCACGCCTGAGCAGCTACAGGCCGCCTACGAGGACGGCTTCCATCAATGCGACGCAGGCTGGCTGGCTGACCAGACTGTGCGGTGAGTGACCACCCACCGGGCCAGCAGAGGAGCTCAGGGCTCGGCCAGCTCAGAGGCCACAGCACAGAGGGGCTGGCGATGGAGCGCTGACCAGCACTGGGCTTGTGCCAGCATGACACTGCCAGCCTAGGTTAGGGGCTAGATCATGCCTGGGTCAACACAAGGCTCCATCCCCCACCCTGCTCATTCTCTCCAGATGGAGGAGTGGCCACCATTCGTTGCTCTCCTGCCCGCTGTTCCTTTTGCCAAGGCTTCTTCACTTACGGCTCTGGTTTGATTTGGTTTGGTTTGGTTTTGATTGATTCAGTTTTGTTTGGGCCCTGGAACTGAATCCAAAGCCTTCACACTGAGCTACATCTACAGCCTTTTAAAAATCTTTTATTTTGACACAGGGTCTCACTAGGTTGCTAAGCTACCCAAGCTAGGCTCAACCTTGTGATCTTCCTGCCTCTGTCTCCTCCAGAATCCTGTGATTACAGGCATGTGCCACCGCACTGTTTGTTTTGCTTTTTGACTTTGGAATTTTATGTATTTTTGTAAATCACCTTATGTTCTTCTTGTTTCTAATACAAGACATGCATATGTAGGCCTCTGATAGAATATGTTTGGCACCAATAAGGATTCAGTAAAGGGCCGCCTGCTTTCGCTGCCTAGTACTGTACCTGTAGAAGCAGACAGGGCAGGCTTCAGAGCAGACACGGTCAAATGCAATCGATGCTCCGGTGCCCTTCCTCCTGCAAGGGACAAAGCTACAGGGAACAGACCATGGACGTCCCTCTGTCTCAGGGTCACAGTCCACTTGGGATCCCTGACAGGTACCCCATCCACACTCCCCGGGAAGGCTGCTACGGAGACAAGGACGAATTTCCTGGCGTGAGAACCTACGGCATCCGGGACACCAACGAGACCTATGACGTGTACTGCTTTGCCGAGGAGATGGAGGGTGAGGCTGCCCCGCCCAAATCCTCCTCTGCCATAAGGGGCTCGGGGGTGCTACAGTCTGGCTCCCTCTCTGTCCACCAAGGAGAGGGCCTCAGTGACCCCAAACATCTGCAAACTGTCTAGTGTCACTACTGGGCCCAAAAGCCCCTATCAAGGGAAGACTTTCACCTTGCATTGCTCCTCCCAGCCAGGACCCTGGTCTCTCTGACCATCTGGTGTACTGTGCTTTCAAAGCCCTGTTTTCCCATTGGACTTACAACTTTAAGGATTTGCTTTGAACCGGCAAAGTTTTGACGCATAGGAAGGCGCCCCTAGTGGTGGAAAACTGAGCAGCAAGCGGCTGGGCAAAGATGCTTTTAACCAGATTTTCCTCCAGAATTTAACATTTGTTCCCCGCATTGCCATTTTGGCTGCCTTCCTCTTGGTCCCCCCGTTTTAGGACATTAATGCTGTTCTGCCCCCAAAAGCCCAAAAAAAGATGGAAAATGGGAAATTAAGGGCAAGATACGGACTTGTAGGTTCAAACCTGGAGGGAAAATGTGGGTCACTGGGGGCCCAGGCCAGGGAAGGTGGGAGGGAGGCTTCACCAGGCCACCCGTGTCCTGCCCAGGTGAGGTCTTCTATGCGACGTCCCCAGAGAAGTTCACCTTCCAGGAGGCCGCCAGCGAGTGCCGACGGCTGGGCGCCCGCCTGGCCACCACGGGCCAGCTCTACCTGGCCTGGCAGAGTGGCATGGACATGTGCAGCGCCGGCTGGCTGGCCGACCGCAGCGTGCGCTACCCCATCTCCAAGGCCCGGCCCAACTGCGGAGGCAACCTCCTGGGCGTGAGGACTGTCTACCTGCATGCCAACCAGACCGGGTACCCCGACCCCTCATCCCGCTACGACGCCATCTGCTACACAGGTAAGGGCCGGGGATGTAGCTCAGTGGCACAGCACTTGCCTGGCAAGCACAAGATCACGAGTTCAATTCCTGGTACCAAAAAAAAAAAGCACAGGTAGGGCTGGCACCAGGGCAGGAAGGTACTTACCTCCCTGACATCGGGTCCCAGAGGAAGAGAAGGTCTTGGAAAGGGAAGATTGGACTTAGTTTACCCCTTCAAGGGACCTATGGGTCCCTGAAGCCTATGTTGTATCAAACCTGCCCCCCATTTTTGCTGGCTCCTAAAGCAGAGACACAGGAAGCTATGGCATGTCCGGTCCTGTCTCGTCAGAGCCACACAGAACAAGGTGAAAAGCATGCACTTTGGAGTCTGTGTTTTCTCAGGCTTTAGTTACAGCTCTGCCACCTCTGACCATGCGTCACCCTCTGTGTACTAGAGAAAGGGTTACCCCATGAAGATGGTGAGACCATGAGCCCATAAGTAGGCACTATTATCTGCCATTTTAAATTGAATTAAGCCAGCCATTGTGATGTATGTTTGTAATCTCAGCACTCTGGGAGGCCGAGGCAGGAGGATCAAAAGTTCCAGCCTAACCTCAGCAATTTAGCAACTTAGCAAGACCCTGTCTCAAAATTAAAAAAAAAAAAAAAGCCTAAGATTGTAGCTCAGTGTGAAGACTCTAGGTTCAAACACCTGTACTGCAAGTAAATAAAAAATATTGAGAATAAATACATTGAGTTAAAGGGCCTAAGTGTTCTTGAAAGAAAAGAGAAAGTTAGGGGTTTTATTATGAAAAAGTAGAATAAATTTTTAAAAATAATTTTTTTCTTATGTTTAACATACACTAGATAATAAGCTTATTTTTGGAGAAAAATGAACAACATAGATGATGAGTTTCATAATTTTTTCAACAGAATTGGTGATAATGACAGGTCACTTCGTGTTTCAGGTGCACAGTTTAATCTTACACAAAGAGGGTTAATTTTGCAAAAATAACTAGGATTCCTTTCCCTGCACAGCCTCTCTTAAACTTTTGATAGTCTAACCCCTCTTCAGAAGGATCACCTCATGCATTTCCGCTTTATTAATTAACTGGCTTATTTCTTATAGCCCCTCTCATTTGTCCAGGACCAGGAGGAGGTTGAGGGTTCTCCAACACCACCTTCATCCATTTCATGAACTATAGCTTCTGCAAGATCTGACAATTTCGCTTTATAACTGATTTATACTGGTCAGTGGGGATGGCCAGTTGGGTGTGGAGGGGCTCCCAAGGTGGATCACATGGGCAGCAGGCTAGGGACTCATTTTTGTAAACAATATGCTGATTGGCTGATCTTTTGCAAGTATCTGCTGGTTCAGCCAATCCCAGTTTGAAAATATTTGCTGGGGAAAACTGCATCTGTACTGAAGCTGTATGGACTGTTTTTCTTGCTGTCATTCCTTAAACAACACAGCAGCCACTGACATCACATTTATGTTGTATTAAGTATTGTCAGTAGTCTAGAGATGATTGAAAGGATAGGAGAGGGTGTGCAGTCGGTTCTGTGCAAATAGGGACTTGAGCATCTCTGAAGATTTTGGTGACAATTTGAGGCCCTGGAATTTGTCCCTGTAGATACCAGAGGGCAACTGTGGTCAGATAGCTGAGGGCAGGTGCGGGCTGCGCAAAGTGCCCAGCGGCCCAGTAGGGAAGCGGGTGTGATGGAATGGTTAAAGCCTGCTTTGGTGCCCTGGCCCAGGTGAAGACTTTGTGGACATCCCAGAAAATTTCTTCAGTGTGGGTGGTGAGGAGGACATCACCATCCAGACGGTGACCTGGCCCGACATGGAGCTGCCTCTGCCCCGAAACATCACAGAGGGAGAAGCCCGTGGCAATGTGATCCTCACCGTGAAGCCCATCTTTGAGGTCTCCCCCACCGACCTGGAGCCCGGGGAGTCCTTCACGTTTGCCCCTGACATGGAGGTCACGGCCTTCCCTGAGGCTGAGAATGGGACTGAAGAGGTCACCAGACCCTGGGGCTTTCCTGAGGAATCCCGCCCTACAGCCTTCACCAGTGAGGACCTGGTCGTGCCAGTGACCATTGCCTCAGGGGCAGCCGAGGTCCCTGGGCAGCCCCATCTTGCGGGTGGTAAGTACCCACTCCTGGTGGGATGCCTTGAGCAGGCCTAGAGGTGAGAAGCCATCTGGCTGCACTCGCAGCTTCCCCTGGGGCCTGGGACCGGCTTATCCTGTCTCCAGCTTTTCTTTCCTGTCTGTAAAACAAAATGAGGTGTGTCTTCAGCGTGTACCCACTTGGGGCTGGCCCTCAGCTGCAACCATCTATCTTGCCACTCTCTCCCACCTGCCAGGCCTAAGCATGCTTCTCGGAACCTGGGGGTGGAAGAGAGTCTTGTAGCTGAGTAAAGGCCACACCAGTCATGTCCACTATTTTGTCACAAGCCATTAATCTCCAATGAAGTCCTACGTGGAGACCGGGACATGTGAGATGTGACTGAGATACACTGCAAATGTTTAAATGTTTTAAAATTTTATTACAGTGAAAGACACATTGCCTTTAATCTCCCTCAGATACTTCCCCTTGATTCAGACACACATCCCATCATTCTTGCCACTTTCAGAAGCAGGTCTGGAAGTCCTCTTTCCTGAGGGTCTTTAGTTGTACAGTCATAGATGCCTCAGTGTCCTGATTTGATTCCAAAAGTTTACCTTTCATAATCATTTTGACCTTGGGGAAGAAAAAGAAGTCGAACAGTACCCAATCTAGTAAATAAGGTGAATCAGGACATATCATAATGTTCTTAGGAGCCTGCCTTTCTGTTGGATGGCGCTCAGCAGCATCATTTTCCATGTTTTTTATCACACCTCATAGAGACACTCAGGAAAGAGGACTTCCAGAGCTGCTCCAGAAAGTGGCAAGATGATGGGATAAGCGTGTCTGAAGTGAGGGGGAGTTTTTGGAGGGGGATTATTGGCAATATGTCCTTTACTGTAACACTTTTTTTCCATTTAACCATTCACCATATATTTTGATCACCCCTTACAAGTCAAGCGAATAAAAGCATCACAGATCTAAGTAGAGGGGAGAACTGGGGCTCCTCCTATCTGAGCCTCCTCCCTGACCCATCAGGCACTGCCCCGAAGTAGCCCCACTTAAAAACCTGGGTGACCCCCGAGGCCTCTCCCTGCCCATCCTCCATTGCCAGGGCAAAAATCAGCAAATTGTAGTCAATGGCCAAACCCAGCTGTTCCAGTCTGGCTGTGAACTATGAAAGGATTTTATGCTCCTAAATAGTTGGGGCGGGGGGTCAAAAGCATACATGTGACACATGAAAATTAAATGAAATTCACATTTCAGTGTCCACAAATAAAATATGATTGGAACGAGCCATACCCATCTGTTAATGGGTGGCCTGTGGCTGACTTAGGACAATCGCAGCAGAGTGGTTAGGACAGAGGCTGTACGGCCCCCAAGGCCTGAAACAGTTACTGTGTGGCCCTGCGGAGAGGGCGCCCTGGTCCTTGTGCCGGTACATGTTTGGAGAGCTGGGATGTCCTGTGGCTGTTCCCCAAACTGAAGTCCATGAGCAGGAAGGACGCTCTGGTGTGGCCTCCTTCAGGATTTTGGTGGCATGCCAGGGGAGGAGCAGACAGGCAGTGCCATCTGCCCTCCCACCCTCGGTGCCACAGAATCAGATTTCAGCCCAAACTGCCCAGTCAAATCCAACACATTGGAAGGGAGGGGCTGGGTTCAGGACGGTGCATGGGCAGCTGGAAGTGACCTCGGCTCCTCTCCCCTCTGCGTCCCCCAGGGGTCGTGTTCCACTACCGGCCGGGCTCCACCCGCTACTCGCTGACCTTCGAGCAGGCGCAACAGGCCTGCCTGAATGCGGGGGCTGTCATGGCCACCCCAGAGCAGCTGCAGGCTGCGTATGAGGCAGGCTACGAGCAGTGCGATGCTGGCTGGCTGCAGGATCAGACCGTCAGGTAAAGGGCCACCCACTCCCCTCTAGCCCCCCACCTCCAGGGGCCAGGCTGAAGGAGCCCTGGTGGGTACTACACCCAGCACCTTGTGGACTAATTGGCCCATGAGTGACTCCATGGTCACCCATTTCTCCCTAAATGTCCCTGTAGAACAGAAGCCTAGTCTGAAAGGTCAGTGAGGGGCACTGAATTAAATTTTAGGTCATTGTCCCCCAAGGGACATACAGAGGAGGCCCCTACTCTAGATATTCCCTCCTGTAACCCCATGGTCCCTTCCAGTGTGACCCAGTGCCCTCCAGGGTAGCAGGCTCTCTTCTTAAGCAAGGACCCCCCCCCCCGCTGTGTCTGGTTTGAATCCCATCAGACACCCCAAGACACACCCTGTCCACCTCCCTGCACCCTGAAACCCCCAGAATGGGCACTCAATCTCCCATCCCACCCTCCTTTGCAGGTACCCCATTGTGAGCCCACGGACACCTTGTGTGGGTGACAAGGACAGCAGCCCCGGGGTGAGGACCTACGGAGTGCGTCCGTCCTCAGAAACCTATGATGTCTATTGCTACGTGGACAAGCTTGAGGGTAAGGCCATGGTCTCACTCCCAGCCCTAGATCGGCAGGGAGAGGGCGAGCAAGAGGAAGGGAATTAGCACCTCCAGCCCCATTCCCTCACCGCCTTCCAGGAGCAAGGGAGCTGTTTAAGGAAGAAAGGCTAGCTAGCCCCATACCACCAGCCCCTGTCTCTTCCCCCAGAGTTCCAGTGGCTCCCCAGCATTGCAGGACCCCAGCTCCTTGCAAAGCCATAAGTTCTGTGGGTACATAAATCAATCCATTACAAACAAATTTCACATATTGTCTGCTCTTAGAAAGTCCATTGCCCAGGAGCAAATGAAAGGCTCTGAGAAGTTCCACAATAAGAAATCTCTTTACCTCAGTCTGACCGAAGCTCATTCAACTACAAGCCTTTATTTTATTTCGCATCTTTTAATTTCAATGAAAATCACCTGGCAAGGTGGCACACACCTGTAATACCAGCACTTGGGAGGCCAAGGCAGGATTGCTATGAGTCCAAAGCCAGCCTAGACTACCTAGTGAGTTCAAGGCCAGCCTAAACTACATAGCGAGAACCTGTCTCAAAAACAAACAAAAAGAGAATGATCAGGTCACTATATCCCACTGAACACAACTTCAGGAATACTGGGGTTGTGGGAAAATTTCAGCACAGCCACCCTTTGCTGCAGGACTCTGGGCAGGTCACCTAGCCTCTCCAGGCTCAGTTTATTCATCTATAAAATGTACCACATTAGAGGCATGGTTTTTTTGGTATTAAGGGAGATGCATGTGAAAAGTACCTGGCATGGGCAGCTGTTAAACAGTTGTGAGCTGCCCCCTCCCCAGGCAGGCACCTGGGTGCTGTGCTGGGTGCTGGGACCCAACCCTGCTCTTGCTGAGCTCAGAGGGAAGGTTGGTCTACAGCAATCATTGGGCTCCATGGTTTGTGCGACGCTCAGGTTACTGGGATGGGAGGGGCTTAGCCAAAGGTGGGGAGGGGGCACGTGTGATGGAGAATCCAGAAGGAAAGGAAAGAACAGAATCCCTGTCCTGAAGTGTGCCCAGCTCAGCCAGATCTGCTGGGTCATTGCCTCTTACAGCACTGGAAACCCAGAGTCCAGTAAAGCCGAAGGCACCTCAGGGCTCAGCCTAAGGGGTGTGACTGCCCTGGGCTGTGGCAGGTGTCAGCCAGGGCCAGTAGGTTGGGAGCGCTGGGATCTGTGCCCCTGGGGAGCAGGGCTGGACGGTCACACCGCCACCTGTCTCTGTCCCCAGGCGAGGTGTTCTTCGCCACACGCCTGGAGCAGTTCACCTTCCAGGAGGCGCTGGAATTCTGTGAATCCCAAAACGCCTCGCTGGCCTCCACCGGCCAGCTCTACGCGGCCTGGGTGCGCGGCCTGGACAAGTGCTACGCCGGGTGGCTGGCAGACGGCAGCCTCCGCTACCCCATCGTCACCCCACGGCCATCCTGCGGTGGGGACAAGCCAGGCGTGAGGACTGTCTACCTCTATCCCAACCAGACCGGCCTCCCGGACCCACTGTCCCGCCACCACGCCTTCTGCTTCCGAGGTACGCACCCATCCTGCCTCTCCTCCAACACCCCTTCCGCCTGGGGGTGCCTTTCCCGGGAGCCCCTTCCTGGCCCCTGGCTGCCCTCACCGTGCAGCAGGGCAAGGAGGATAAGCGGGGTGACTGTAGCTAGCTTGACTTCAGGCTTTGACCCCAAGGCAAGGTCATCTGTCTAAAGTTCCCAGAGAAAGAGAGGAGCGAGTGAAGAACCTTGCTCTAAAATCAGGACGACCTCGGTTTGAACTGTGCCTCTACTACTTAAGCTAAGTGACCCCGGGCAAGTGACAACCTTTCTGTTCCTCTGCTTCATCTGTAAATGATGATAAAAATAGTTCCTGCTGCAAAGAGTTGCAGACAGATATGAACTGGGATAATGGATATGAAGCATCTGCAATACATACATAGTTTTAATTTGTTCACCCACGTCAAATTCTGTCCCGCTCGTGAACATTTTTGTGATGAGCTTAACCAAGAAAGTATTTTCTCAGCAACAGTAATTCATGTTTTTATTGACCTATGCTATGACATTCTGATGTACCAACCATCATTACCCTTTAGACATTTGAGAATGATGTCATCAAGCAACACCGTGGGCGGCTCAGGGGCAGGGCTAAGGCTTTGCTGGGCTCTGATTGGATGAGTTCTCACAACCTCAAAGTAGGCCCTGGGTGCACAGACCAGAATGTAGAGGTAGAATAATGTGGGCCGTATTTCCCGTATTGTACATCAAAGCTGAGTGTCAGTTGCAACTTCCTGTGAGTCTACAATCATTTCCAAATAATGTTAAGGGAAATAAAAAACCCTGACGGCTCCCAAGTTTCCCAAACTTCCAGGATCACCTCTTACACACCCATTCAGAGTTCCACCCCAATCAACCAGCCTGAAGAAGCCCCCCAGTTCCCTCCCAGAGGATCCCACAATCCTACTTGTGCCCTGGGCAACAAAACCCTGTTAATCAGGTTCCCGGTAAATTTCCTGCCGTGAACCCCCACGCCCCACCCTGACAATCAGTGGACTTGGCTTCTCGAATTACCCTGCAAAGAGGTTCTCTTTCCTTCCTGATTTCCCCCAGTCTCCTACCTCCTCACACACACATCTCAAGCCAGGACAGTTACCCCCGTCAGTGAATCCTGCCTTCACCCCGCCAAACACCAGAGTGGCTGCACGGAATTTAAATACCACCCCCCTGCTTTTGTTCCTGACACTCTGAACATAGTCCCTGTCCCAAGGCAGACCACATCCTACAGTAGCTGAGAACGGGGATGTCACACCAGATGCTTGAATTCAGAGATTAGTTCTGCCACTTCTAGGTCACTGGCCCTGGGCAAGGGATGTAGCTCAGTGGTGAAGTGCCTGCCTGGCAAGCACAAGGCCCTGAGTTTGATTTCTGGTATCAAAAAAGAAAAAAGGCCCCCAGAAAGCCCCTAAGTCACTGGTCCTGGGCAATAAATGTGGCACCGAGGCTCAGTTTCCTAATAAAATGGGAATAATAACATCGTGTACTTGATGCAAGTAGGTCTCATTGACAGAAAGGGCAAAGAGCCATCTCATGGAACTGCAGGTGGCAAGGGGGGCCAGAAGACTCTTACACAGTCTGGTCCACCCCCGGGGCCCCCGGCTACTTTCCAGAAGGTCCCCTCAAGGCCACATCCTCTTTAGGTATTCCAGTGGCGCCCTCTCCAGGAGAAGAGGAGGGTGGCACACCCACACCGCTTGCAGGCCTGGAGGACTGGATCATCACCCAAGCGGTGCCTGGCGTGGCTGTTATTCCCTTGGGGGAGGAGACAACTGCAGTCCTAGACTTCACCACTGAACCAGAAAACCAGACGGAATGGGAGCCAGCCTACACCGCAGTGGTCACCTCCCCTCTGCCAGGTCAGTGTGGCGGGACTCCAGGGCACACCCTGAAGCCACAGACCTCTGTTTGCCTGTGGTGTGCACAGCGGGGTGGTTTATCTCTCTGGGGCCTGAGCTGTGTCTCTAGCCCTGACGCTGGCCTGATGCACTGCTGGGACAACTTTGACCACGTTAGCTGCCCTCTAGGACCTGCCCCAGAGTGATAGGGACAGACTTGTTCATGAAACACACACCCATTTTCTCTGTTCCCTTTCCTTTATTTCTCCTGCACACACCCCCCAGCCCCGGGCCTAGCCGAGTCCTCGGCCACAATGTCCTACACAGGCACCCTCCACCGGGGAAGTTCTCCAAAGAGGGGCAAGAACCAGGGACAGGGTAGTCGTAGGAACCTCTCGCCTTGCCTTTCTCTCCTTCCAGGTCCCTCCTCTGTCCAGGCCTATCCAGAACTTTCTAAACCCTAAATGTCATAATTAAATCAGAAAGACTTCATGAGATGAAAGCCACAGTCCCCAAACCTTGTCAAAAGAGTTCTGTGGCCATGGAGGTTTGGGAAATGCTGGTTTTCCAAAAGATCTACAGGTTTCCTCACTGTGGATGTTCTCAGAGCCTTGGATAGGCTACTGTGCCATATAAGTGCAATAGATCCCCAACGAACCTGCTCACAGGGCCTTTAACAGGTCCCCTCCCCATGGAGTATTGTTAACATCTAGTGACTCCCAGCTTGGGTAACACTGAATTAAAGCAATGTACAGCACTGTGTGTGCCTAGTGGCATCAGCAGCCGGGGACATATGCATGAGAAGGAAAGAGTCTCAGCACTTCCCACCAACCCATGCAGCTGTTCATTCCGCTCATGGCTCCCAAGCCATTTGGCAGTGCCGGCCAATGCTCCAGGTCCTAGGGCTGCAAAGCCTCCCTCTTTACATGCCAAAGGGGAGGAGGAATCTGTAGAGGAGGTGGGATTCTGGCCCCAAGACCTCACCCGGCAGCCATATCTGCCCATGGCCCTTTCCTCTCCCTTTGCCAGGGCAAGAGCAACTGAGTCCTGTCGGCCTGGCAGAGGGTAAGGCAGGGCAAAGGAATCTCGTCACCTCTTGTGGGGAGCTCCCAGCAGCACAATGCCCCAGCACACCTTTTTTTTTCTTTTTGTTTTTTGAGACAGGGCCTCACTGTATAGTTCAGGTTGGCCTTGAGTTCACTATGTAGCCCAGGCTGGCCTCCAACTCATGGCGATCCTCCTGCCTCAGCCACCCCAGTGCTGGGATTACAGTCGTGCACCACCAAGCCCAGCTCCCAGCACACATCTTTAACTTCAGTTCCCACCACCTCACTGGTTCCAGCCACATCTGGGGCCATCTGTGCTATTGTTCATGCTGTGACTTTTTATTTCAATTGCTTTTCTTTTTAAAAAATCATTTAAGGGCCGGGCATATAGCTCAGTGGCGCAAGCACCTGCCTCACAAGCACAAGGTCCTGAGTTCAATTCCTGGTACCAAAAATAAATAAATAAAAAGTAAAAAGTCATTTAAATGTGTTTAACAGAGAACTGTCAGATCATGACTGTAAGTGGTCACGGCAGCCTGCTTCTCATATGTATTTCAAAATGCATAGCTGTGCTCTTCTGTGTACCACTAAACTCCCTCCTCACATCCTCCAACAGTCTTAGAGGGAGACTAGGAGCCTGCCAACCTCTCCAGCACTCCAGTGTACCTGGGAAATAAGCCCCAAAGTACGCACAAGTTTCAAAACCCAGCTAACTGTTTTCTAAATGCCAAAGAAAACCAAACCCAAAGAAAAAAACATGACCATGGTTATTTAGCACGGTAAGGTTTTTCCTTTCTTCTCTATTTTCAAGTCCTCTGTTACAAGGCTCTCGGAACTGAAAAAAGTAAATGCATGTTTACAGATAGCACCATTGGTAGCTGGGAGTAGGGTGTAAGCCTGTAGTCCCAACGTCTGACAGGCTGAGTCAGGAGGATTTCAAGTTCAGCCCAGGGAAACTTTGCAACTTAGCAAGACTCTGCTTTAAAATAAGAAAGGAAAAGGGCAGAGGGGGATGGGGCGCTCAGTGCATAGGCCCTGGGTTCAGTTCCCTGTACTGAAAAGAAGAAAGAAAAGAAATTATAAAACAAACAGCACCAGCTGAGATGGGCGGGTCTCAGCCTCTAGCAAGTATAAAGGAGCTGAGCTTCTGGGTCAGCAAGGTTAGGGCATGGGCTGGGGATTTTCATCTCCATCAACCCCCCAGAGGATGCTGGTCCAGGGACCAGGCTTTGAAAACCACAGCTTTAGATGCAGGAGATGATAATGTACCTGAAGGGGGCTGGGGCCGTCATCAGTGGCAGCCCCATGTCTAGTGGGCTGTGTGGATGTGGCTCCCTAGTGCCTCACAAAGCACAACCTGGATAGCCTGTGGCTCTGACGGCACTGGTGAGAGCTTCCTGGTCCCCTCCCTTCTCCTTCCTTCCTTCCCTGATTCCTTTCTCCCTTCCTTCCTCATTTTCTTCCTAGTTGAGCGTGTTGGTGCACGCCTATAATCCCAGCACTCAGACGGCTGAAGCTGGAGGATTGCTGCAAGTTTAAGGCCAGCCTGGGCTAGATAGTGAGTTCACGGCCAGCCTGAACTGCATAGTGATTCCCTGTCTTAAAAAAACAAACAAAAAACAAAGCTCCTTTTCTTCCTTCTTTCCTCCCTTCTTCCCCAAGACACTTCTGCAATTCCGTTGTAAAGCATCTGAACGCAGCTGTGCTCTTGGAGAAAAGGTTTCCCCAGAGAAGGACAGAGTTCTCCATGCATGGGCTTACACTGGAGGGGAATCACTCCACCCACACCTCACCTGTCTGTCTCCCTTCTTGCAGGGGTCCCATCCACATGGCCTCCCACCAGCACAGCAGCAGAGGAAAGCACAGAGGGCCCCGGGGCAACTGCAGTGCCCTCCGCCTGGGAAGCACCTTCCACCTCAGAGGAGCCATATGTACCTTCACCTGCAGTACCCAGCGCCACCGAGCTGCCAGGCTCCCAGGAGGTATCTGAGGCCCCTGATGTCAGTGGTGACTTCACAGGCAGTGGAGAAGCTCCAGGAGCCACTGCAAGTGGACTGCCCTCTGGAGACCTTGATTCCAGTGGTCTCACCTCCACAGTGGGCTCAGGCTTGCCCTCAGGACATGGAGACAGAATTGAGTGGTCCAGCACTCCTACAGTTGCCGGGTTGCCCTCTGGAGCAGAGGACCTAGAGGGCTCTGTCTCTGGGGTATGGGACCTTAGCAGGCTTCCTTCTGGAAAGGAAGTTCCAGAGACTTCTGCCTCTGGAGAAGGGGAAGTGAGTGGACTTCCTTCAGGAGTAGAAGGTGTAGAGACCTCTGCCTCTGGAGTAGGGGAAGTGAGTGGACTTCCTTCAGGAG